GCCCGGGCGCGGGGCTGCGCGGGGCGGCGCGGAGGAAACCCCCGGGAGGAGCCGGCAGCAGCAGGACCCCCGCGAATCCCTGCGGCACGGCGCTAATGAAGGACTTCCTAGACAGAGCAGTCAGTTCCGATAGCCTCCAACTATGCTTGTAAATTATCCGTGGTTGTAATCATTTTCAAACACTGTCCAACAAGATAAGTTCCTGGGCTTGTTTGTTCTTCTTAAAGAATTTTTTTTTTTTTTAATGTGCTGAAGAGAGATGTAATTTCGTTTGTGTTTAGTGCGTTGTGTAATTACAGAGAAAGACACTGTCCTAAGCACACAAAAGCAGGCTTGGGCACGTCCTTGTAAAGAGAGCAAGAGAGGGGGTTTAATTAAAAGTTTTCAGTTGAACACGGACTCTGTACTTTACTGAATTTCTGAGATGAATGCTCATTTTAGGCACGTCTGTAAGAGTTAAGCGTTTTCAAGCTGCTTTTTTAAGGCTTTTTTTGTCTATGCTAAATGACTAACTTTGGAAGTGCTAACGTTAACAAGAGTTACAAATCACAAGTCAGCTGGGACTGGAAGAGGGAATAACTCCCCAGCCACAGTGGCCATAAGGCACTGCCGGGAAGTGGCATGGCTGGGTAGCGGTTACCCTGTCAGATCTCCATAATCCAGTTCTGTGCCCATGGAAGTGGGAAATACCCGTAAAAGGTGAGGGAAGCTCTAATAAAGTAAGTCTTTGAAACGTGTATGTAAGAGTAAAAAGGAGCTTCCCCCTACTTCCCACTCTTATGTTCTCTGCAACGATCAGGGATCTTGAAAAAACGGAAAATTACTAACCGACTTACCAAACCCTGGGGAAGAGTTGATTCCACTGAAATTTTGGAAGACTTTTCTTCTCTGTTTTAGAAAACGTCTTCTTGAAACCAGCACGATGGGATACTGACTCCTGAAGACAAACTGCCTGAGAGTTTTGCTAGGTCTGGATCTGGCAGCTATAGATTTTTCTTAATTAAAATAAACAAAGGGAATGGCATGCTAGTCAAACTAACATGAATTACAGACCAAAGTTTCCCTTATAGGAGGAGAATCGCAGCATGCCTTGGGATCTCTTAGGACAGACTTTCTTACACAACTTGCTGTATTTCATATAGTGTATTAATATGGCTTTTACTTTTTAAATCATGGAAGTTGTGTTCAGGGGTTGTCAAAAATAGTTGCAGCAGCTAAAATGCATGCCTTACATTGTTGGAAGCTGTTGGGATTTCTTCACATACTGCGTAGTTACCTCTGGAAAGGAAAATCTCTAGAATTGAATTCTGGAGACTTCCAGAAATGTTCTAATTATACTTGGACTGTGACCTGTGAAACCATCTTGTCAGACTTTTTACTGTGGAGTATTCATCTGCCGATGTTCGTCCTTCCAGCCAGAGGAAATAGAAGAATATGTTTGGAACTTGGGATACAGTCAAGATTATTTTCTACAAAATGTCTATATTTGGAGGGTTTGGCATATAAATTATGTGTTCTCCATCCCTTCAACTTTGTAGCAAAGCAAATTAATTTGGCAGCTACTTGTGTTAATAAGTTTCAAAAGCTTTTTGTATACTGATTCCCACTTTTCGGTGTATTGAAGTCTTTGTTTAATTCCATGTGAGCAACAGTCTTTTGCAAGGTAATTGAGAAACCTATTATGCAATGAAGCCAACACGTAGGATTAGATTTGCACACTAGACTGTGTGAAGCATTTCTAGGTATCTAACCAGACACTCAAATTCAGTATTTTCTGTTATTTGAGTATTTTTTATTAATTTGCTAAGTTAAATGAGAATTTGCTTTTATGACTTGGACTTGTCCTTAAATTGATCTTAAATTCAATGCTTGCTTTTCTCCTCACACCTAGTCCCAAAACTATGGGGCCCTCAATAGACTAGTGCTGAAAATAAGATTGCTCTGGCCCTGAAAGTGTCTGTCTCCTAATGAGGAAGAACTGGAGGATAATCTTAATTTTTCTGATTATATTTTTTTAATCCTTTAGTTAGATATTGAAGGTAGAGACTGACCAGTATAGTCTTTTATAAGTTTTCTTTTTAATTATTAGACTTGTACCTAAGGGACTGTACATATATAAAAGACAAGATTTAAGGGATGCTGAGAATTCATTAGACAGGATCCCCATGAGAGGCTTGATTAAATCAATAGTTTTTGAATTGCTATGAAGCTTGCCATCTGTATGCCACACTGGTGAGTCAGAGCACCAACATAATCTGGCAGCTCAGTTTTGCTGGGTTTTTGAGGAGAGACTGGAGTGTCTCTAAAGGTTTGAACTGGAATCTGTTTTCCTTTAGGAAAGGCTGATGCATGACCCTGGGAGGCCCTTGAGCTGTAATGGGGCCAGGAAGAAAACTGAACTTGGAGGCTGCCTAACAAGGCTTGCTGTATCTTGGACCTCCACTAGGGAGAACTGTGGTTGTATGAATACTGGAAAGAGAAACTAGTTCACCTTTCACTTGGCTGGATTTGGGTTTTTGTGGGGTTTTGTGGTTTTTTAGAATGAAAGAATGAAAGAATGAATGAATGAATGAATGAATGAATGAATGAATGAATGAATGGCCAGTTGCTATGACAGCTGTCAGCAGTTTGGGGAAAAGGTATGCAAAGTGCAGGTATTACTCTGAGAAGTGACAACAAATTACTAATGGAAGACTCTTAGCAGCACAGCAGGCACCACCAGTTAGCTACTCTGATGTTCTTCTCATCTAGCTCTTGGAGTAACACCCTGACGTTCACCATGGTAATGTTTTCCCCAAATTTTCCTTGATAATTCCAGGATGTAGGGGCAATAACTGGAATACAACCCCCAACACACACACATAAGTGAGGGAGGATTTGGCTGTTTACCCATCTTGGTCCAATGGACACATACTGCTTTAATGAAGTGCTCTTTCCCACTGCCCAAGAAAGTAAGTGAGCATTCACCTTGCCAACAAAATAAGCATACATCCTTTTAACCCCTCACTACAGAATAGTGCCGTATGTGGTGCATCTTTTGGAGCATTTGACTGTGATCCTTCACCCTTTCTATCCCTTTGGGAGCAGCTTTCCCAGCTGTGGAGGAGGAAGTGGCCTTCTCTGCCTCCCCAGGGAGTCAAAGCCAGCCGGAGTTCAGGGGGAAAGAAAGTATTAACAGCTAAATTTAGAAAACTGGTGTGAAAAGTAAGGCAAGTTAAATACATTTTTGTCCTTGAAAACTAAGGAGGAGGAATGAAGATGCCTGAATACAGTCTTTTTACTGAGCCTCAGACGCAGGGCAGGACTTATTCTAGAAAAGCTGAATGACAGAGAAGCTCTGTCTCTTGTCAATTATGAGAAGGAACATCTCATTGTTAGACATGTTAAAATAGGAAGGTATGTAAATAATTTGGACTGGAATCTTATATATGCCAGTATGAAATTGAGTAATTCAGACCAGTTGCCTCCTCTAGGTGTTTTCTTTGCAAGTTCATTGTTCTCTTCATCTTTTATTTCTGCTATCAATATGGAGTGGTACATTTATTCTGCAAACTGAAATATAGCTGCTTAGTCTGTGATTTCCTCCTTGCTTTATAGCTGAGTGTATATAGTATTTGACATAAAATAGCAAATAGTGGCTTGGTATATTTAAAGTACAAATTAGATCTTTCCCTTTTTAGAAAGAAGATACCCACTCTACAGAACTCACCTTATAAGAAGAGCTGAAATGTATACTTTGTCAAAACTAAACATTTAGAACATTTTGCCAGATGTGTTGCAGGCAATTTCCTTTCCTGGGAAACAGTAAATTCACTTACTCAGCCAATCCTGGTTTTATTCCATATGGCATATGACTAAGCTGCTTTGAGAGAGATGCCTGAATACCACTAACATTATCTTTCCAATTATCATTTTACTTACAGCTGCACAGCTTCTGTTTGACAGGCAAACGCAGAGATCTTGCGAGATCTCTGATAGAAAAGGAAGCATAAAAGTGTTTGAGGTAATGTAAGAAGATGTTGACTTGGCTTTATTCCGCTAACTGAAGCCTTTGCCACCTAAAACTTTCAAGATGTTGATTTAGTAGATAAGCAAGTTCTCATTTCAGCAGTTTTCTTGTTTTAGCAAGGAAAAAATATGTTACAAAATGTGTGCAAAATAAAGGCAGAACAGTGTAAACAAGTAGGTTTTGGTGCTGCATTCTTATAGGGTTATTTGATCCACACATATAAATGAAAATGCTGTAGTGTGAGAATATGGAACTTCCCAATTAAATCTGAGGTGAAAAAATATCTGAAACTTGGAATAAATTAATGAAGTATTTTATATATGTGTGGTATTTACATTCCTCAGATTTTGACACTCAATGTTACGTCCTCACCTTTGGTTCCTGGTACTTTAATATTAGTTTATGGTAGTTCTGTTTGCTGGCTTCAAAATATTTTCTTTCACTGGAAGTATTTTAGTGTGTTTCTCAGGAACAGATGTCAACAAGGACAAGACTCATGAACTTGTAACTTAAAAAACAAAGAGCAGGATCTTGGATGTTACTAGATTTTTGGTCTGCTGAAAATCTTAATCTCTTTTGCACTCTTAAACTTTCTTTGGAAGAGAGGCATGTCAGATAATTATGTTTTCTGATAAGACAAAAAAAAGTGTTTTCATCAAGACCCATAGTTCAGTTCTTTAGCACTTCTAAAATTAGTGATAATATCCTACCAATTGTTCCTCCTTTTCCCACCATTTGCCTATTCTTTTTACTCAGTCTGAACTTCTCCACCAGTCCCTCATGACTTCTTTAACAAAATCTCAGGATCCCACTCACTTTCTCAGCTGCTGCTGGTTTCTAATCACTCAGAACATCTGGTGGAACATCTTGTGAATTCATAGTTGTCTTTATGTTCTGTCTCTGACGTTCCCTCACATCTTCTTTGAGTGCCCTGC